GCCTTCGTGGCGTCCCAGGGCCACTTTGTAGGGCAGAGTGGTATTGGGCCTCTCGCGCTGCTGGACACTCACACGGGCTTTGGGGTAATTAAGTGTGTGCTGAACTGACTAGTGTTGTCGTGTCAACACTGACCCGGGTTCGTGCCCCTGGTTTTATAGGCAGCGTTCGGTTATTGTGTGATGGTGCTTGTTTGGTTTGATTGTTTGAAACGGATTGTATGTTGTCACCCATTCAGTCATTATTATGTCACTCGAGGGACCAACTACCCGATAGTTAGCGAGTGTTAACGAGCACTTGGGTCATTGCCTTGTTACACTGTGGTGATCTGTGTAACAGTGCAGTGTTACACTGTGGTGATCTGTGTAACAGTGCAGTGTTACACTGTGGTGATCTGTGTAACAGTGCAGTGTTACACTGTGGTGATCTGTGTAACAGTGCAGTGTTACACTGTGGTGATCTGTGTAACAGTGCAGTGTTACACTCTGGTGATCTGTGTAACAGTGCAGTGTTACACTGTGGTGATCTGTGTAACAGTGCAGTGTTACACTGTGGTGATCTGTGTAACAGTGCAGTGTTACACTGTGGTGATCTGTGTAACAGTGCAGTGTTACACAGTGCACTGTGCACTATGCACTGTGCACTGTGCATGAGGGCTGTCGTCACAACTGTTCTCATTCAGCTTGTTCTCTCCTGATTTACCACTCCGTCAAGAATCCAACCTTTTAACCTAACCAGAAACGTACAAACCCAACCAACCCACCTAACCTGACGGGGTCTGATGAATAGAAAACGTATATATATATATATATATATATATATATATATATATATATATATATATATATATATATATATATATATATATATATATATATATTGTGAGCGTTTGTTAATAGGTTGCCTTTATAACGTTGGCTACGAAAACGTAAGAAATGCGACTTGTTAGTTGGGATTAGTTAATCAGGATGACCTGATTAGTTAATCAGGATGACCTGATTAGTTAATCAGGATAACCTGATTAGTTAATCAGGATGACCTGATTAGTTAATCAAGATGACCTGATTAGTTAATCAGGATAACCTGATTAGTTAATCAAGATGACCTGATTAGTTAATCAGGATGACTTGATTAACCTGGAGATATCATGACGCGACTTTGTAGCATAGTAGTCTACATCCTCGACTCACACTCCAGGGACCGGATTCAATCCCCCAGGTGGGACAGATACGGTTGGGCAGCGTTTCTTTTCACCTGATGCTCCTGCTCACCCAGCAGTAAATATATATATATATACCCGGGCATTAGGTAACTGTTGTGGTTAAAGGCAGTTGTTGGCCTATGGTGATGGTGGTGGGGAGGAGCTCGATAGGCCTAAGTTCGATAGGCCTAAGTACTTCCTGTCCTCACCAACGGGACTCTTATGGCGGGTGGTTAGTCCAAGTCCTCGGGGCTGTTGGCCGCCATTTTTATCTCCTACTGACGTCATTTCCTGTCAATTGGTCTCTTTAATGAGCGCCATTTTTAAACCTCGCTGAGGTCTTAGTTCGTTGATTTTTTTTTATTTGCATTAATTTATTATGTTGTATGTTCATTGTGTATATTGTATAACGTGTGTGGTCACCTAGTTGTGCTTGCGGGGGTTGAGCTCTGGCTCTTTGGTCCCGCCTCTCAACTGTCAATCAACTGGTGTACAGGTTCCTGAGCCTACTGGGCTCTATCATATCTACATTTGAAACTGTGTATGGAGTCAGCCTCCACCACATCACTTCCTAGTGCATTCCATCTGTTAACTACTCTGACACTGAAACAAATTCTTTCTAGCGTCCCTGTGGCTCATTTGAGCACTCAGTTTCCACTTGTGTACCCTTGTGTGAGTACCACCCGTGCTAAATAGACTTTTATCTATTATATCAATTCCCCCTGAGAATCTTGTATGTGGTAATCATGTCTCCCATAACTCTTCTGTCGTCTAGCGACATGAGGTTCGATTCACGCAGCCTTTCCTCGTAACTCATGCCTCTTAGTTCTGGAACAAGTCTAGTGACATATCTCTGAACCTTCTGCAGCTTCGTCTTGTGCTTGACAAGGTACGGGCTCCATGCGGGGGCCGCATACTCCAGGATTGGTCTTAGAAATGTGGTATACAACGTTCCAAATGAATCCTTTCACAAGTTACTGAAGGCAGTTCTGATGTTAGCCAGCCTCGCATACGCCGCTGATGATATCCAACTGATGACGGATTCAGGCATCAAATGGTTGTGTAATATCAACTCGTATATTATATATATAATATAGATATCATATACTGTATATAAATTTATATATATATATATATATATATATATATATATATATATATATATATATATATATATATATATATATATATATATATATATATATATATATACATACACACACACAAAACAATTCTCACCTTTTCAAATTTAGCTCACCATCACTAAAATATCACAATTATACAAAAATCTATAAAAATTAATATATACTGCTGTAATTAGACAACCGCACTCCACCGCGCACCCGCGAGTCATCAGTCGGAGGATGAGAGGACTAACTATACCAAATATGTGTTGCGGGGAAGGTTGTCGCAACCGACGGTGGTGCTTCCTGGGCTCCGGCCCTAAAGGGTCGCCCAGCCCAAACACCTCCCCGGTGCCATCAAAGATGTAACGTACTGGCAGAGCTTTGAGGGCGGTGATAGAGTCCCTCCTTCGTCATGGAGGCTGGAGTGACGGTCCTCCCTGATGGAGGATTTAGATCGGGAAGTAAAGTATGAGTGAAAGAGCTCCGGAAAGGGGATATGTATAGAGTGAGAGAGAGAGAGAGAGTGAAAGTACATGGGAAAACACATATATCACATCTTTCGGTGTAGACCGAGGTAATGTACTGGGAACTCAATCTCTCTCGGTACTGCTATAGAGTCCGTTAAAGCAAATGAGGTCCAGACCAGCGCAAGGCTCTCTCCCTACTCTCTTTACACTGTCCTCACACTGCTAGTAGGAAAATGGCTGGTTCTGTAGATGAAGATGATGCTCGCACATTTCTCAACTTGAAACATTGCAGTATCTGTTGAATGAAATACAATTAAGCATTTTCGCCGGCCATCCTTAGCTCCCTTCTCTCTCTCTCTCTCTCTCTCTCTCTCTCTCTCTCTCTCTCTCTCTCTCTCTCTCTCTCTCTCTCTCTCTCTCTCTCTCTCTCTCTCTCTCTCTCTCTCTCTCTCTCTCTCTCTCTCTCTCTCTCTCTCTCCCTCTCTCCCTCCCAGGTCAGAGGCAGGAAGCAGTAGTGTCTATGGTCAGCTCCGGTTAACGTCTCGCCTGGATAACTTTGACCCTCGTCTTTGCTTCCAGCTACCATTCACTCTCTCCACACCCGGCCTCCACACCCGGCCTCCACACCCGGCCTCCACACCCGGCCTCCACACCCGGTCTGTTTCCCCGGTTATTCCGTCTTTGCACAGCTGCACAGAAGCTTTTGCAATATTGGATGTGGGTGTATGAGTACTTGTATCTTTTGGTAGTCTCCGGAGTGTACTCTGTGTATGCGTTAGGTGTTTTCCTGTACTTGTTCGTGTGTGTGGGGGGGGGGTATACTCACCTATTTGCGTGTTCGAAGGTGCACACGCGTGCGTGCATCCATCATGCGTGTACTTGCGTGCAAAACGACCGTGTTCTACAGCCAAAATATGTACCTCATATTTTTGGCTAGTTCCCCCTCATCTCTCTGAACCCTGTATCGCGGTCAGCAGAGACAACTCTAGCGTCAAACTCAAGCTTCCATCCCATATTAAATCGTCTTCAAGAAAAACTATGTAACTGTAAATCTCCTGACCTTAAATAACGTTAAGTCTTAACGTTCTGACTTGGAGAAACTTGACAGGAAAGTATTGTTAGACTTTATATTAGCAATTAATAATTTATATTTATATTAACAATTTATATTAATTCTGGTTCTGAGGTTCGTCGTCTGGGACGGCAGCTGGCGAAGGAGCCATCCTGAGGGCTCGCGCCAGCTGCCTGACAAGGCACTACGGGCTCACCATAGCCCGTGCTACTTGGAACTCTGTTCCAGGTAGCGAATCTTTAACAGCTGCCTGAAGCTGCAATTGAGACAAAAAGAGATAGAGATTGATCTCATTTACGAATCAAATAAATTGAATATATATAGAAAGCCTAATAGGAAAATATATAAACTACAAATTGGGTTACGTAGTGATTGCTGACGTCAGCACAGGTGATGGTATCGTCTCTCCCCAGGTAACTGCTGCTGCGATGGATTCTCCTGCTTGTGGTGTCTTGCGTTCTGTTGGTGTGGTGTGGCGAGGGGTTAGATACTCTAGAGTCTATATACTCTAGGTTGCTCTAGAGGGATGTGAGAGATACGTAAAGAGGTGTAGGTTGGTTCCTTCCTGTTTAGGTCCTATTCCACGCACGTGCACTCAGCCTCCCACTCTACACACGCGCGCACACACACACACACACGCACGTACGCACTCAGCCCCCACTCTACACACACACACGGACGCACTCAGCCTCCCACTCTACACACGCGCGCACACACACACACACACACACGCACGCACGCACTCAGCCCCCACTCTACACACACACACATGCACTCAGCCCCCTCTCCCTCATCTCTACAATCTCTCCATCTCTTCCCCCCCCCCCCTCCTCTCATCCGGCCAGAAAATAGGCCATATACCGGCTTGCAACGAAGGAATACTAGAGCCACTCAGGATGCACTCTACCTCGAGTACATACCTGAGACGCCCCGTAAGATGCACTCAGCTGAGATACGACGACAAGACATTTTTTCTTTCTCGTCTTTTTGAAAGTTTATACTATACGAAAGCTATATTCCTTCTATAGCTCCAGCTTGCTGTCATACCTCATACCTTAGCCTGCAACCATGATATCAGTGCTTCGATATTCCTTAGTCAGCTATCTGTGAGGTTTCCGGGATCTTTGGAATGTTTTCAGGATCTCTGGAATGTTTCCAGGTTCTCTAGAAGGTTTCCAGGTTCTCTAGAAGGTTTCAGATTCTCTGAAATGTTTTCAGGTTTTTTGGAATATATCCGAAAACCATTTTAATATTTTCAGAGCAATGGAATCCGTTTCAAGACTATCTACGGTGGCCTTTTTAATTACAATAACCATATTACGTAGTTCAGAATATTTCTACTAATTTGCAATAATCCTAGACGTTTTCAACATGTAAATCAGCATATTTTCAGACCATTTAGGATATTTTGAATACAATTTAGACATGAATAGCCATGCCTGATATTCACAGACAATATTCAGTATTTATTTAGTACAATTGAAATTATTTAAATGCTTCCAATTTTTAATTTTTTTTAAATGTTGCTAAATTATCTGAATTATTGCTAGACTGCAAACTTTCAAGATCATTTTGACAAGAAAATTTTTCAGAATATTGAAAGAATGAACTTTCAGAATACTCAACATTGAAACTGTTTAATCAATTTGTAACATTTAAATCTCATTTCGAGTATTAACAAAGCATTGTAACTATTTACAGACTTATTTGGGGGTATTAACAATATTTTTTTTAATAGCAAATAATACAAAATATTATAATAATTTTTTTTTAAATATTCCGAGACCATTTGAATATTTTTTAGACAATTTAAAATATACTTTGAAGAGGTCAGAAACATTCCTTCTAGCACCATGGCACTATTGTACTATGGCACTCTGGCACTCTGGCACTCACGCAGAGTCTCGGAAGTGGCACCTTCCTTCCTGGAGAAGTTGTGGATAGCATGGCACTGGATCTTATCTTGATATGTGACGTGCTATCTGTACGTTTCATCTTGTTAATCATAGCCATGGTTATCGTAGTGCCAGGATAACGGCCCTACGAGCTTGTCTATAACAAGAGATTCCTTGGGCTGTGTAGTGGCGAAGGTTGTCAACTACGCACCCGTGATCGTGGTAAGACGTAAAGGTTTCGTAACCTCACACTGGAGGCTGGTGTGGGTTTCCCTGTCATCAGTGATGGAAGTCGGAACCATAGTGTGTGTGTGTGTGTGTGTGTGTGTGTGTGTGTGTGTGTGTGGGGGTGGGGGGGGGGGGGGGGGGGGGGGGGGGGGTTGCCAGCTAACCTCGCCTTATTCTCTAGCACCAGGAAGCGGAAAGCATTTGAAACACTTCGAACTTATGGCTGCTTGGTGTATGAGGAGTCTCTCTCTCTCTCTCTCTCTCTCTCTCTCTCTCTCTCTCTCTCTCTCTCTCTCTCTCTCTCTCTCTCTCTCTCTCTCTTCTCTCTCTCTCTCTCTCTCTCTCTCTCTCTCTCTCTCTCTCTCTCTCTCTCACCCCCCCCCACACCTGTGTGAGGGAGGGGGGGGGAGGGCATCCAACAATTCAAATCCTCCAAACGATCATTAAATGCCGTAATTGACTCCCCGCTTGAATGTTCAATTTGATGGAGAAATGGAAAACACACACACACATCTGAATATTACCCAGGTCCGCCACGCTCATTAAAACCGCGAAATTTTCATTTTTGGTTTTCCCCCCTAACCCCCTTCCCCCCCCCCCACTCCCCCCCCCACTCCCCTCTCCACCTCGATACATAGAAGCATATGTGTGTGTCTGCTCTGTTTTTTTTTCCTTATATCTGTGTGATTTTTTGGGTTATATAAAGCTTTTTATATCTTTTTTGTATTTGATGCGAGCATTTGTTTTATATTTTATATATATAAGCGTATATAGGCTTAATGATGTAAGAAGGTGATTTAGAGGCGTGAGAAAGTGTTTGAGGGGTTATAGTGTGGGATTGAACGTGCGTGTGTGTGTGTGTGTGTGTGTGTGACTCTTCAAGGCACACACACGCGCGTGTGTGTACATTATTCTTATGAAATTAGTGTTAATAGTGTCAGTTTTATTAATATTTTTCGGTTGTCAAATTATAAGGTATTGAGTTTTATTGTGTATTAAGTATTGTTAAGTGTATTACGTGATTAAGTATTGACTTTTGTGAGTAAGGTCTACTCGCACATGTTTTTTGTTATTCTTGACAGTTGTCTGCAGCTCTGCCGGTGTTGACAACACCTGAGTGTTGTTTATTTGATTGACATTAAAACACCTGAGTAACCTTTGGTGTTTTTTAGATGTTTATTAATGTCTTGCAGGTGTTGACATGAGCACATGTTTGACGGGTTTTTAGATGTTTATTAATGTCTTGAAGGTGTTGACATGAGCACATGTTTGACGGGTTTTTAGATGTTTATTAATGTCTTGCAGGTGTTGACATGAGCACATGTTTGACGGGTTTTTAGTTGTTTATTAATGTCTTGCAGGTGTTGACATGAGCACATGTTTGACCAGCGGCTTTTAGTTGTTTATTAATGTCTTGCAGGTGTTGACATGAGCACATGTTTGACCAGCGGCTTGTTCGCGAAGTGCATAACTATTTTTGGCGTGTTAACAATGCTGCAGTTGTTCAAGTTGTTGTGGTTGGTGTCAGAGGTGATAACTACCCGGTAGTTACCGTGAGGTTGTAATGACACAGGACCACCTGCATCTGAAACCATCCAAGGGGGGATGGGGGGGAGTCACATTTATAATGTCAATCGGTAATTTGTTCCATAAAACAACAATTCAATCAACCAATATTTACCCAGGTCTTTACCAGGGGTAAATACAGGTTTAACTTATCCAATTTATATCCATTGTTCCGTGTGCTATTTTTGTGTTGATATAAAAATGATTTATCATAAAAATATTATTTTAAAGTCAAACAAGCACTCTTCAAGTCCATTAAAAAATGCGTCGTAATAGTAAATATTAAATTATCGTAATATTGGCGATTTTTCTAAGCATATCTAAGGGATAGGTTAGGTGGGTTGCTGGGGTTAGTACGTTACTGTTTAGGTAAAAACAGTTTATATTTGTTATGGAGTGGCCAGAGACCGGGCCGGCCCCGAGCACAAGACAAACTCTCTATAAATGTCAATTGTTTATTTGGCTTAGGAAAGGTACGACATTTTGATATACATAGAGAAGATGGCGGTAACGACGTAGTTACGTCTTGGTAACAACTTAAGGGGTTCCGGGAAGTGACCACGTACCCTTAGGTGTCTAAAGTCAATGGTTAATAACCCTCAATCGTTACCGTCGGAAGTATTGACCCCGGGTATTCCAAGTCTTGGATTTGCCTGAGGGCTCATGATCACTACCTCTCTGATACCTGCCGGCTATATAACACAGCAGTGTGGGATGCAGCCAAACACACTCACTGCACCACAGAGCAGAGTTGTACCAGTGTTGCAGTGTTTACTGAGCAGGTGTGTAGCCCAGTATGAGGCGTGGGCGGCCAGCGTGGCGTGGGCGGGTCCTAGCGTGGGCGGCGTGGAGGGTGAGGGCGTGCAGGGGAGCGTGACACCAGACAGGCGTGACCCGTCGGTGACAGCTATTGACGCAGAGAGTGACAGCTCCGTCATCAGTCACTCCACCTGTCACCTCCCGCACTCCTGAAGAACACAATGATGTTGTTGTTGTTTAAGATTCGCTACTGGGAACAAAAAGTTGCAAGTAGCACGGGCTATGGTGAGCCCGTAGTGAACTGACCTGGCACAGGAGCGGGGCAAGTAGCACGGGCTATGGTGAGCCCGTAGTGAACTGACCTGGCACAGGAGCGGGGCAAGTAGCACGGGCTATGGTGAGCCCGTAGTGAACTGACCTGGCACAGGAGCGGGGCAAGTAGCACGGGCTATGGTGAGCCCGTAGTGAACTGACCTGGCACAGGAGCGGGGCAAGTAGCACGGGCTATGGTGAGCCCGTAGTGAACTTACCTGGCACAGGAGCGGGGCAAGTAGCACGGGCTATGGTGAGCCCGTAGTGAACTTACCTGGCACAGGAGCGGGGCAAGTAGCACGGGCTATGGTGAGCCCGTAGTGGACTTACCTGGCACAGGAGAGGGAGAGTGACCATTTAGACAGCTTTATGACTGTTACATCAAACACAAGACAAAAATATATATACACAACCCCTCTTAAAGTCTCCCATGCACATCACCTGGGAGTGTTGCGATGTCGCCAGCACCGTGGGAGGAGGAGGAGGCTGTGTCAAGCATCATCTCCCAGGTAACTCCTTCAAGTAACTCCTCCGTCGAGTGCCCGGAGGAGGAGTGGTAGTCCGGTGCCTCTTGTACTGAGGAAGGAAGACCTGCCTCGCCTCCTGAGTGTGTTGCGAGTCCTTGCAAGGAGGGAGAGTGTTCTTGAGCCCCCACAACAGACTTCTTGCTCCACCAACCTGCATAGACACGACAAAAGGGGGAAATTTTAGGGAAATATAACGTCTAAATGACGCTTCTGTGTGTGTGTTTGTTTGCGTCTAGGGACGTCAGCAGGTGTGGGGTGCCATCTACCTTGAGGTGCTTCCGGGGCTTAGCGTCCCCGCGGCCCGGTCGTCGACTAGGCCTCTATAGTCAATATACGTACTGTTTTGTTGCCTGTTGATCTGCGGGGCTGTTCGTGACCGCGCCTGACCCTGGGTCAATACCGTCAGGGTCAGCAAGAGGGACGTCAACACCTGTGCTGATGTCTTCATGTCTGGTCCGTGACTCCTGGGGCAGGTGTTGTGGGAGGTGTTGCTGGTGTTGTGAGACGGAGGTGTTGGCGCTGTGGAAGGGTTTATATAACACCTGTGTTGATGGTTTTGTGGGAGGGGATATGAAATGTGTTGCTGGGGGGGGGGGGGTGTTGAGTGTTGAACCAGCAGTGTTGCGCCGGGTACGGGGACTCCCTGTGTGTGTGTGTTTCTAAGTGTTGGGCCGTGTTATTTAAGCCAATAATGTAAGTGGTGCAAGAAACTTGGAGGGAAACTGCGAACGAGGCAACTGGCCTGGAAAAATTTCCAGGAGTTTCCGCAACTGGTTCCAGAGACGAGAACTGGATGATGTATTGCTTCTGTTGCAACTAACGCAACACCTACAAGCTTCATATATATATATATATACCCCCACACACCCTTGCTCCTCTACGCATGCGCTCTCAAACTGGCGCTTAGGAATCTCACAATATCTGGCTTCCAGGTTACAAAAAAAGTTGAACAAGAATCCTCCTTGTGTGTGTTCCGAAGTGTTCCTGTGGCGGCCAGAGGCAGGATCTTAACCTCCTTCAGCGTGTCGTCTCAAGCACCTCCTTCGGCAGTTAATGAATCGCATTACGAAGACGACGAAAGGAAGATTTGCGAGAGCGCTCAACGGGCTTCAAGAATTCGTAACTTTTTGCCCGAAACTCTATGCGTAATAGAGGCTTTTAGGTATTGTATGTACTACCTCTATCTATAAATCCAACGTTATGTTTGTAACGCATCATCTATGTATGTACTTTTATTTGAATTTTGAATTTTGAATTTCAAAAATTTGAATTTAGCGCGGGAACCACAAGAAGGCGGGCGGGCCGAACGGTTGCTATAGTCTCTTTCCTCTGCTTCTCCCACTTCGATACTTCGTGGGAAGCTGAAGTCGCCTCAAGAACTCTTAACTCTTTAATAATCCGCCACTTAAATTTCTTCGTGAAATATCCGGCCATCGTGAAGTTTTCAACCTGCCATTAATGAATTAGGTTTAGCAACTTACCGACAGCTTGAGACTAAGAGCAGAGGCCACGAAGGGTTCCAGCAACGGTTAAGAGGGTTCCAGCAACGGCTAACAGGGTTCCAGCAACGGCTAAGAGGATTCCAGCAACGGCTAAGAGGGTTCCAGCAACGGCTAACAGAGTCGCAGTAAACACCAGATGGGTTTCATCAAATACCATATAAAATCCAGTAGAGACAATGAGGGGTTCCAGCAAATGCCAAAATGGTTCCAGAGGATCTACAATCGTTTCAGTGATTGCCGCGAGGATTCCGCGGAAGCCAGTGTGGTTTCTGTGACGATAATGAGGCTTCCAGTGGAGACTGGAATGGTTCCAGCTGATGCCAAAGAGGATTCAAGCAGATGCTACCAGCTTTCCAGTTCTAAAAATACACCTTTTATTTTAGAAATGGAATTAAACTCTGCTACACATTGAGTGAAAGGATCCAAGACTTTCTTTAAGTAAGAAAAAGAGTTGAAATCTTTTCCTTGAACTGGCTGATAGATAGTTCCTGTAAATACTAAGATTTCGCGTCGTGTAATCCAGGAATATTTCCACTCCTCTTAACTTTCACTGAATCTCAGTGACATCTTGTCCAGCCACTTGTGCTGGACGGTAGAGCGTAGGTCTCGCTTCATGCAGATCGGCGTTCAATCCCCGACTCTCCAAGAGATTGGGCACCATTCCTTCCCCTCCCTCCCCCGGTCCCATCCCAAATCCTTATCCTGATCCCTTCCCAGTGCTATATAGTCGTAATGGCTTGGGGGCTTTCTCCTGAGAGTTTCGTTTCAGTGATATCTTTGATCGATAAGATTAGTTCTCACATTTCACGGTAATTACTCAGTGTTCTGGGTTTTAAGAACAGTTAGTCATTAATACAGAATACTTTTCCCACCACTATCATTCTTCATATCCATCCTCTGTATTAGTTACTACCTTTATCCATTTCTATAATCCAAACCACTTCGCTTTATCCATCTTCCACTTAGTAGGAGAACCCTCTCTCCAACACCCTGCCTTCCGTTGCTGTTGTTAAAGATTCCCTACCTGGAACAAGAAGTTCCAAGTAGCACGGGCTATGGTGAGCTCGTAGTTGTTCCCTGCCTTCTATAGTTCTACCCTCACAGAACCTCCGACACTCCATCATTGTCCCTCCCTGAATCTCCATCACCCTTTTCCTCCCTCACACGCCTCATTATCCCCCTCATCCTCCACCGGCACTCATAAACCTATCGACTGAGCCTATTTTGAAGATTTTGGCGAGAACTAATTAGCCTCCCGGCTCTCTGAGATGCTTTACAGGTTAAATAAGGCACAGACTTTAACTTAATGAAATTGCAGAAGCCAGAAATGATAAAGTAAGAATATTGACGAGGTATAACTTGGTCAGAATAAAGCAGTCTCTTAACGTCTCCAGTACCTGGGTTCCAGAAGGTGTCTATAAGGTTTCAGAAGATGTAAACAAGATGTCAGTAAGATGTCAGTAAGGTTCCAGTGATGTCAGTTAGGTTCCAGTGATGCTAGTAAGGTTCCAGTGATGTTAGTAAGGTTCCAGTGATGCTAGTAAGGTTCCAGTGATGTTAGTAAGGTTCCAGTGATGTCAGTAAGGTTCCAGTGATGTCAGTAAGGTTTCAGTGATGCTAGTAAGGTTCCAGTGATGTTAGTAAGGTTCCAGTGGTGTCAGTAAGGTTCCAGTGATGTTAGTAAGGTTCCAGTGATGACAGTAAGGTTCCAGTGGTGTCAGTAAGGTTCCAGTGATGTTAGTAAGGTTCCAGTGATGACAGTAAGGTTCCAGTGGTGTCAGTAAGGTTCCAGTGATGTTAGTAAGGTTTCAGTGATGTTAGTAAGGTTCCAGTGATGTTAGTAAGGTTCCAGTGATGACAGTAAGGTTCCAGTGGTGTTAGTAAGGTTCCAGTGATGTCAGTAAGGTTTCAGTGATGTTAGTAAGGTTCCAGTGATGACAGTAAGGTTCCAGTGGTGTCAGTAAGGTTCCAGTGATGTTAGTAAGGTTCCAGTGATGTTAGTAAGGTTCCACTGATGTCAGTAAGGTTCCAAAGGTGCCAACATGGTTCCAAAGGTACCAACAGGGTTCCAAAGGTACCAACAGGGTTCCAAAGGTACCAACATGGTTCCAAAGGTACCAACGTGGTTCCAAAGGTACCAACATGATTCCAAAGGTACCAACATGGTTCCAAAGGTACCAACATGGTTCCAAAGGTACCAACATGGTTCCCAGGGTTCGAGCCCCCGGGACACAAGGTCACTGTTTTTTAATGACAGGAATTGTGGTCTGGGCCGGCAAAAGGGGGATTGTAGATTGATGGGTGGAAGAAGATTGAATTGATTGGGTGGATGGGATGGGTGATTGATGAATGAGTGTTGGATTATCATCACCACTACAACTCCAAATGGTGCCAGGATCACCAGGCACCGCCTGACACCAGCTGCCGTGATCACCACCTTCACAACAATTCAAGAGGTGCCATAGGCACAATCAGAGAACACTGTATAAACATCAGAGGTCCAGTGAAGAGCAGAGGTGCCATAGGCACAATCAGAGAACACTGTATAAACATTAGAGGTCCAGTGAAGAGCAGAGGTGCCATAGGCACAATCAGAGAACACTGTATAAACATCAGAGGTCCAATGAAGAGTAGAGGTGCCATAGGCACAATCAGAGAACACTGTATAAACATCAGAGGTCCAGTGAAGAGCAGAGGTGCCATTGGCACAATCAGAGAACACTGTATAAACATCAGAGGTCCAGTGAAGAGCAGAGGTGCCATAGGCACAGAGAACACTGTATAAACATCAGAGGTCCAGTGAAGAGCAGAGGTGCCATAGTCACAATCAGAAAACACTATATAAACATCAGAGGTCCAGTGAAGAGCAGAGGTGCCATAGGCACAATCAGAGAACACTGTATAAACATCAGAGGTCCAGTGAAGAGCAGAGGTGCCATAGGCACAATCAGAGAACACTGTATAAACATCAGAGGTCCAGTGAAGAGCAGAGGTGCCATAGGCACAATCAGAGAACACTGTATAAACATCAGAGGTCCAGTGAAGAGCAGAGGTGCCATAGGCACAATCAGAGAACACTGTATAAACATTAGAGGTCCAGTGAAGAGCAGAGGTGCCATAGGCACAATCAGAGAACACTGTATAAACATCAGAGGTCCAGTGAAGAGCAGAGGTGCCATAGGCACAATCAGAGAACACTGTATAAACATCAGAGGTCCGCGGTTGTTCAACGTCCTCCCAGCGAGCATAAGAAATATTGCCGGAACAACCGTGGACATCTTCAAGAGGAAACTAGATAGTTTCCTCCAAGGAGTGCCGGACCAACCGGGTTGTGGTGTGCCTGCGGGCCGCTCCAAGCAACAGCCTGGTGGACCAAACTCTCACAAGTCAAGCCTGGCCTCGGGCCGGGCTTGGGGAGTAGAAGAACTCCCAGAACCCCATCAACCAGGTATAGTATCCAGGAACTTAATGCCCCTAATGAGCCACAAAAAGGCGGGACCAAAGAGCCGAAGGTCAACCCCAGCAAGCACATTGAATGAATAAAACTACCACCACCACACTACCACAACTACCACCACCACCACCACCACAACTACCACCACCACCACAACTACCACCACCACCACAACTACCACCACCACCACAACTACCACCACCACAACCACTCTCATCATTAATCATGGTGTCTCTGAGGTGTATTAATTACTTCGGGTGTGTGGGAGAGATTGTCTTGTCATGTGTGTGTGTGTGTGTTGGAGGAGCTGTCATGTGTGTGTGTGTGTGTTGGAGGAGCTGTCATGTGTGTGTGTGTGTGTTGGAGGAGCTGTCATGTGTGTGTGTGTGTGTTGGAGGAGCTGTCATGTGTGTGTGTGTGTGTTGGAGGAGCTGTCATGTGTGTGTGTTGGAGGAGCTGTCATGTGTGTGTGTGTGTGTTGGAGGAGGTGTCATGTGTGTGGTGTGTGTGTTGGAGGAAGTGTCATGTGTGTGTGTGTGTGTGGAGGAGCTGTCATGTGTGTGTGTGTGTGTTGAAGAGCTGTCATGTGTGTGTGTGTGTGTTGGAGGAGGTGTCATGTGTGTGTGTGTGTGCTGGAGGAGCTGTCATGTGTGTGTGTGTTGGAGGAGGTGTCATGTGTGTGTGTGTGGTTGGAGGACGGGTGTGTGTGTGTGTTGTTGTAGGAGCTGTCATGTGTGTGTGTGTGTGTTGGAGGAGCTGTCATGTGTGTGTGTGTTGGAGGAGCTGTCATGTGTGTGTGTGTGTGTTGGAGGAGGTGTCATGTGTGTGTGTGT